GTATAAAGGTAGATGTCCATGTCTTCTTTGATTATAAACCAGATGAGATGGTTTTTGGTTCTTAAAACCACAAATATATCCTCTTGTGGATCAACACTTCTGACCTGTTAAACTTTCAGATCTCAGGGTTTTTCATCTATTAACAGCTTCCGATGCTGAGGTGTTACTAGGATGTCATCTTTGGGTGTGCATTTGGATTATTTGGGTGGTCAACAACAAAAATGTTGCTTTTCCTAAATAGGGTATGTAAACAAGGGCGTAGTTTAATTTTGAGAAGTGGGGGGGCGGATCACCACTGGCCCATGGGTGGGGCGCTAGTTGTCATTATAACTTAAAACATTGTTTTAATCAAGTATTAAGATTCATACTTAAAGTTTGCTCTAGTGCTCTATTAACAATGTTTTCAGACATAAGCTATATGGATAGCTTTCAAGTTAGAAACTCCGAAATAAATTCTACTTTAGTCAATGTTGACAAATGACTTCCATCTCTTTAGCACAACTCTAGTACTCTTCTCTAGTGGTCATTTTGTCATAACTGAGTACAATAGGCCAACATCAGAGTGTGAGTGTGAAGCAGATACAGTAATGTTTGCACAATGAAATGAACATAACACAATTTTGGCAGATGCTTACTACTAGCTGTTTAACTTACAATTTATTAACTTAGACTTAACATGAACTTATTATTAAACAAGGGCTTCCTATTCACGTCTGTATTTATGCATACGTTTTCGGGAGCAGGAGCAGCTGCAGACATGTCTGGCTGTGAGAAGACTCGCTGCTAACCAACCAAACTATTGAACGCTCTGGGCAGGCGGGTACTAGCCGTAAGAGGCTGAATGCGGGTGGGATGGTGCTGCGTTCAATGCAACCGGAAATGCGGGACAATCCGCACAATTCCGTATTTTACAGGACGGATGGTAACCCTATGGGCAGTGGATTCCTCTGAGTGGGCAAGGCTTATCCCTGAGTGGGCAATGCCCATCCCAGCCCACCCGTAGACATGCCCCCGTTCTGATGTTCTGCTCTTCTTTCTTGACTCCTACTGTAGCTACATTCATGGAATCAGTGAACGAGAGCGAGGTTTGTTGAACTCATTTCAGTTTAAATTAAAATCCTGTATGCCTCCGAGCTCAGCTGCTGTCAACGTGCCAGTCTTAAGGTGAATTTGTTGAGCTGCGAGCTGAGGAGTGAGGTGGGAGATGAGCTCAGAGTAAATAAGGGAGAAAAAACTAAGTGACAATATGTGGATACGGCTGGAAGAATTCAGGCCGGATAATCAGCTGGCCTTGGCTCTTAATACTGATGCAAGTGAGGAATTGATAATTGGTCCATCACCTGGCAAACTGCAATACGGGCTGAAAAAAGTCTGCTGACATGCAGCATATTTCTAATCTCTGTCTGCAGGTGTAAGATAAATGCACAAAATAAGCAGAGGAGGAAAATCTCTGATGCAAATAGGTTTAAGTTAACAAGGCAATACAGCAACAAGAAACACTTAAAAATGTTCCCTCACATGAACATTTTCAACGTTACTGTGGTTTATATTGTCTGGTGCGCAGTTGTCGAAGAGTTTCATGGCAGCTATTTGGCTTCTTTTTTTCAATTACAAATTAGTCTGATGCAGGCACAGAGCCATTCAAATCTAAAAAAAGCTACTGTATGCAAATCACCTTGCAAGAGATGTTGCTCACTTTGACAAGGAGGATGTGTCAAAAACTACTGTGTCTCTCCTGTTTTGTATTCCTCTCCTGCTCCTCCTCCATTCAAGTTCTGATAACCTCTAGCTGTCATCATAGCTGTCAAATCCAGATTTCTTTTGAATAAGAAGAGAACGTCCCGCTGTAACTTGTCCCCAGGAAACAGATGTTCTTTCAGTATGTATCTGTATCCTCTCCGCTGTGAGTTTGCTGGCAACATGCTCCATACATTCAAGGCTTTGTTGAGATTCCATTGCATAAGCAACATGTGGTTGGTTGTTAAAAAAAAAGAAAAGAAATCTTCACCGTGAGTCAGTCAGTAGAGCCATCATCTGTCTCCCACGTTGTCTTTCGGTTTGCATGTTATTTGGAAAAAGTCAGCGTATGTGCTCAGAGGTCAGATTGTTGTTTGTGATATTTACCTTGAGATGTGTGGAGATTTCTAATAACTGTAGGTGAGTGATTTTGATTCCCAATCTAATCTTCCGAGGTAAAGGACCCATGTGCATGGTGAAGACATGGTGCCCATGATGAAAGTTGAAATTGTCATTGTTTTTGGGTCAAACTCTCCTACTGTCATGTTTCGATGAATGGCACCAAGGGTTTTCTTTTTTCGATCTCATGCAGGACTAGATCATGCAGGACAATGCATATGTAAATGCATGAGCATCTGGGTGATCTTATACACATTCCTCCCAGTTGTAGAAGGCAGTAATGCAAAAGTGTCATGCATGCAAGCCGAAACAAAGTGTAGAGTCACCAAATGGTAGTTAGGCCTGCATAATAAATTGTGTAAATGTGGAATGATACAGTAAATGAAACCTCTAACTCTGGCCACATCTATCAACTGAAACAGCAATGCACCAGCAAAAGATGGGAAAGAAGAAGACTGGTAGCTGATGTAAGCATGGATGTAGATAATGCACGTTTCAAAGTTAAATAAAAAAATGTTTATTAGGCCGTGAGGATACACATAACTCAACAGGGTTCAATTTGACAGGTGTATCCAGGTCTCAAGGGTGTGTTAGCAGCTCATTCTACCATTTTAATGTTAAAACAGAGGTAAGTCAGTCAAAGGTCAATTAACTTAGTCCTAGGCAGGGGATGTATTTATTGCACTTGAGGATTGTAGCTCCTCATGTCAACATCCATGATGGGAGATGAAGCCAGGAGACAGTACCACTGGCAACTTAAATAATTCAGTTTTCGTGTCTATATCAGAACTACGTGAGCATACTTTTGCAAGAGGTAAACCTGGCAGTGCTCCCAGAAGAAATCTGGTCCCTTTAACTTGCATCAAACCAGACTAATGCTGCATTATCATCTCAGGAAGTGGCAGTGTGCAGTGCACATTGGGGATGATCATGTCTTTCCCCTGCAGCAGTAAGTAAGAGGTCATCTGGATGCCGAGCATGTACTGTGATTTCATTTTCGATGGCAGCCTGTTCGTCGATGGGCAGCACATCTCGGGACATGAATATTCTGTTAATGTGTTCATTAGCTGCAGCAGAGATACTCGGTCACTCAATATCAAAGTTACATGTGAACTTGAATAAGAGCTTAAATTGGAGTCTGGCCAACAGCACATGTAAAGAGAGAGAGAGAGAGAGAGGAGGGTGTTCGGTTGATCTGGGACTGTGGGAGTTGGAAATGAGTTCAGCGTGCGTGTTGATTGCAAAGCACCATATGTGCACAGTCTGACAGCGTGTTAGTGAGGAGGCCAGAGCGAGGTAAGGCCTGAAGAGCTGGAGCGAATTCCTCTGGAGGTGTGTGAGAGGTGGCTCTGTTTGCATACAGGTGCACAGTAAATGCACTTTTTTCTGGCTCTCTAATGGATGAACGTGACTGTTGAACATTAAATCATTAGTGTTCCTTCTGTCTCACTGGAAGCCACTGGTGCTTGCAAGCAGCAAAGTGACAAATGTTCTGAGCGCTGCGTGGCATAGATGGGCAGATTATACATATTTGCATTTCACATGTATGACCTTGATGAAACAAAACATTACACAAGGCTGAAGCTTTATTGGCATCCTCAACTGCATTTTCTGACATTTCTGAAGGGAACATTTATATGTGTACAGGGAAAGAGCACAGTAATTACAGAAAATGCCTTTACACACTTAAGCAGAATTCCATCGACCATATGTTGTGCTCTGATGCTGATTTTTCCCGGCCTTCACACATGTGACAAATGCTTTAGCACATGATTTGGATTTGATGAGGTGTGCATTCAGTTTGGTTGTACATTATTGTGTTACCTGGACAGTGTGAACCTCTATATACACCCTAAAGTGTGGGCATGACTGGCCTCATATTGCAGGAAATCTGAGGGTGGCAGGTAGCCATCACAAGGCAATTTTGAACCAATGTGTCACTAATCATATAGAGCTTTCTGGTCGCCACCTGTAGTTGTTGGGTGACCAGCTGATAATTGCAAACAGTGACAAAGTTGCAAATGCACAAGGGAAATTGCAGCGTAATTATAGAAAACGCCTATAGATGATTTCACAGAGTAGAATTCCATCGACTGTGTGTTGTGTTTTAATGCAGCTTTAGCCGGCCGTTACACGTGTGACACCTGCTTTAGCACGTTGTTTGGATTTGATTAGGTGTACATCCGCTTTGTTTGTACATTATTGTGTGAGCTGGACAGTGTGAACCTTTATATCCCCCTTGAAGTGCGGGCATGACTGGCCTCATATTGCAGGAAATCTGAGGGTGGCAGGTAGCTATCTCAAGGCAATTTTGAACCAATGTGTCACTAATGTTATGGAGCTATCTGGTCGCCGCATGTAGCTGTTGGGTGACCAGCTGATAATTGTAAACAAAAACAAACTTGCAGGTATCTAATAAGAACAACATGCAGAACTGTCACGTGGAAAGAGCCAAATATATTTAAAGCAGAGAATCAGTATAATTCCTCTTGAATAAAAAACTAAATATTATATTATCATTTCATCACATCTGTCTTTGTATTGTAATATATTTTATGCATCTGTTACCTGGGACATTGCGAGGTAGCACATTATGGTGTTGTCTGTGTACAAAACAAATGAAATATAAGTCACAGATGTCTCATTAGTCTTTCAGGAACCTTGCTGCATGATGTACATGATGCAGCTTAATGCAACAATTGAATTGATTTGTGACCTTATCTGCATAATTGTTGGTGTTTAATAGATCATGGGTAGTGATGGCAGGGCTTTAAGAGTTCTTGCAGCTTTCTAGGTATTTTAGTTTACTTTCCTCTGGATACAGAAGCAGGTTCACTTGCTGTATTCCTGTTGTTGTGTTGTAGGCTGGGATGATCCGCACCGACTCCGACGAGTACTTCATTGAGCCACTGGAGAGAGGCACTCAGGAGCTGGAGGACCAGGGCAGGGTCCATGTGGTTTACCGCAGATCGGCTCTGCTGCAGACCCCCTCCGACATCTCTGTGGACTACCAGTTACAAGGTAGGACACAGTGCTGCTAATGCTACTATCATTATTGAGGCAACTTCTTCTCAAACTGTTTCTGCTGCTAGTCATTCAGTAGCAGTGAGGCGCTCTGCTTTGGTATAATCTTACAGATGAAGTGAGGAGTTATGTTTAGGCTTCTATAACCAAATAATCAATCGTCAATGTTTGATTCAACTCGCCTGCTGTCAAACTTCAATGTCACAACTGTAAATGGGGAAAAAAATCACTTGACAAAACACCACCACAAACTCAAAGCTTGTTAGCCACCATATGCAGGATCACCTCTGAATGTCTTTTTCTATAGCTGATGAAGGTTCAACTGGCAATCATGGTACAACAACATCAAGTACACCTCTCATATCCTAGTGGGTAGTGGCTCAAGCCTGATGAGTTCCTGTTGCATCTACAAAAACCCACTACACATATCTAATGTAAAGCCTGTGGACATATGTGAAATATGGGGATTGAGATGATGTAAAATTTTTCCCTTAATGATGCGAGGGGGTCAGAAAGCTGGGCTGGGCTTTTAATGAGAAGAGGGAGGCAGTAGCATCATGTACTACTTCTACAGCTCCATTTACTACCACTACAACACAACTACTAATACAAGTACAATGAGAATAGAAGTTCACTCAAAAATGATCAACTCTTTTTTTCCCTGTGCTTTAGGGTTAGGTTATCGCAGAGTCTTCATCTTTAAATAGATCAGGTGTCAAGACAATGATATCACATCCCATGATAAATATTACACACAGATATTATATTATATGTAACTAAGCTTCAAAACAAATAAAAATAATAATTGATGATAAAAAGTGTAAAAGTTTAGGCAGCAGTTTTCATATAGGTCACCACTAAGCAACTTTATTGCTTGATGAAGATTGTGAGATGCAGTTGATAGCAAAGAAGAAGCTGCTTTACTTCTACTGCAGCAGCTACTTCTTCTATTGCTCCTACTACTATTATTGTTATTGTTAATGCTAAAAGCTGTCACTGCTCGCTGTAAGTACACAATCTGGACTTTATACTTTTATACCAGACAAATGTGAAGGAGATCAGTGCCCAGAGAAGATAATGAATCATGTGAATCACTGTGTGTTTAAGAACAACAAATTTTGGAGCTTCCATGTGTCATTTTATCAGTCAGCTATGAGGTGAAATAGATGTATCTATACATAGATATACATGTATTTACCTGTTTTTAAAGGTCACTCATTACAATTACAATTACAATGACATTTCAATATAGAAGTAGTGTGTTTTTATTGGAGTAAGTCGCCTTCCACTGAGATCAGCTGTTAATCGTGCTTTGCTGAGTCGCGCTCCATCTGCGTTTAGCTGAAGTGTAAACAAAGCTGAAATACCGGTTTATGGTGCTGCCTTAATGAATGCACACTAATATGAAGCTTGTGTTATCTAAACTTGCCACAGCAGTGAGTTTTGCATTTCCTTTAAAAAAAAAAAACACCATCCAGACTGATTGCTGTTATAGAAACCATAAGAAAGTCAACCAAAAGAAAGAGCAAAGTGTGCTCAGTTTATAATTACAAAGCTACACGCCAGTCTGTTTTTCCCCCTGGTAGGCTGGCACACAAGCTGTGAAAATTAATACATGAATATTTATTTGCCTGGCAGCTTCGACAATCCCAAAGAGATTTTGGGTCAATTCTGGCACGAGTTGGAATCACATGTTATTTATTTAATACGGCTGTTAAATATCTTAAATTAACTCCAACGCTTTGAGGAGCGGCTGTCAGCGCTCATATGTAAAGAACGTGCATGACGTGCATGACGTAAGAGTGATCTGTTTGTCAGGGCTGGCGATGTATTGCGCCTCAAGGGCCATCACTATATTATGAACAAAATAATCAAATGAATAAATTGTTTGAAATATATAAATAAACCATTGATTTGTGAAATAATTGTAGACGTTATTAGAAACAGAATATTATTGGAATTTCATTTTTTTTTCATTATGGACATTTTCCCAATGATGATGATGATCCCGTAAGACCACCTGCAATTATAAATGCTAACAAATCATTATTAAAAGGTTCTTATAGTGAACCTTCAAGTCTGCAGTTGTGAATGTTTATAAGCGGTTTATAAAGGGATTTTGGTTCTGACTAGAAGGTCAGAGGTCAAACAGTCTTAGCTAAAAAGACAAATCAAGTTTGGTGTTGCAAGAGGAATTTCCACAACCTCCAAATTTATTTTTATTTATGACTTATAATTATAATAGTAAGTGATTTACAGGAGATATCCGTTACAATCAAGACAATGTTTGTGACTGTCATTAATCTTTTCTGTCTGGTGGCTCATCACCATCTAAGTTTTGCGATTACAGTTCTCTTAACTTTGTGGCTTTGGTGGATGTACAGGAAGTATTATGTTGCTGCGGAGTCACTTAGTTTGCTACAACTTGAGCACGATTTTCTTATGCCTATATTTGTTTACATTTTAGCAAAATTACTCACATTAAAAGAGCTGAATTAGCTATTAGCAGCTCCGTTTTGTAATAGACAGACAACTTCCACTGGATGAATTTGATTCTGGAGGAAACTTAAAAACCTGATGATTCACAGGCCAGTTCTGGAGGGATAAGGAGCATCTTTTTTCTGTGATTTCACAATTTACTCATTTTTTAAAACTTATTTCTATTATGTATTTAATTAATAGTTTTTTTATCCACATTTGCCACTACCAACATAGCAGCTTCTCCTCCTTACAGCTACTTCCTGGAGTCCACCCAAGTAAACAGTACATAATAATGCAAAACAATAATGTAAATTCAAATCCAAGACATCAAGATTGATCACTGCAGGGTTCCTTAAATGTTAAGTGTTCATTTGCTTAATAAATATTTCACGTGGACGCATTTCTCAACTAAAAGCCTCTTAAACATCACACCCGTTTAAATCTAAACCAGGGATGCTTGAAGTGCGCAGCATTTAATGTGATCAATGGAATACGATGGGGGTCCCAACAGGGAGGATTAAGCGGAATCATGGTGGAAATAAATGGAATAAAGGCTGCGACAATCTCCTGCTCTGACGATGCTTTTGTATTTGAATTATTAATCGAGAGAAAATTAGATTAGGTTAGAATAGATTTAGTATGATGCGGTGCTGATTACAGTCATTACAGGAGGTTTTTGGGGTGTGTGTGTGTGTGTGTAATTATGCGTAAAAATGTAATTTATCAGCCACATACAGTACGCTGCGATGTAGAGATGATGCTTCATCCTCACTAATTGACAGGCAGCAGATTGGCCGTTTAGTCTGAACTGGAATGTGAACATATGGTCACTTCTGCCCATGAAGTGACAGGATGAAACATGACAACACAACATACAGTGTGGGTTTTGTTCTCGTGTTTCGTCTTCAGAGAAAGCCGGACTCCCCACTGTTCCATCTGTTCTTCTGTTGTGTGTTTGAAAAGAACCATCACACAACAGCTTGGTGTGGTGAGCTTGTTCTGTACAGTTGTAAACAGCATCTTCATGTACTGATGTGACCATTAAAGAGAAACAGCAATCCCTGTTTCGCTCCATCAACAGCTACAACACCTTACGCTGCTAGGGGAACATCCACTTTCCACTTTTAGCTGGTGTCTTTTGCAACCTTTCCTCAGAATATAATTTCTGCTGGACACCTTGCTTGTGTACTCAGCTGCTGCATGGTAGGCACATTTATAATGTTCTGCATATGTTACCTGGCTGTTAACGGACATAAAGTAATACGGCTCCTCTAAAATTAAGCAGACAGGAATTAAAACAGATTTCATGGGTTTCCTGAATGATACTAGACTATTGAATTTGTCACACACAAGGGTTATCATCGATCCTTGCAGGTGCTGGTTAAGCATTATTTGCACTGTACAGCAGAGCTATCATCACCATTTGATTCTTCTTCTTGTGATATTTCAGTATTGATTGGATTTTATACTTTGGAACCAACCTGTTGTGAGACTGGAGGATTGTGAGATTGATTTTTTTCCGGGCTCAGTCTGGGTCATGGGGGAGGATGAGTAATTCCTCACTTGTCTTAACAACCACTGCTGTGATGTCTGTGAGCAAGGCACATCATGTCTCCGAGGAGCTGCACAATGGGGGAAAATTATCCAAGCATGTGTCCTCAGTAGCTTTCAGGTGTGTGTTATTGTGTAGGCTTTATTTCAAAGTGCAGTACCCATTCAAAACATACTTGTTATCTCCTTAATAGTTCAATAATCATCTAATTTCCACATAACTGCTGTGTTACAATATATAAAGGTCCCATATAGTATAAAGGGAGATGTCCATGTGTTGTTTGATTATAAAGCAGGTTTAGGTTCTATATTAATAATGTGAAAGTATCAAAGCTCAGTCCACAGAGAAATGCACGCAGCCTGTATTAAGAAACTGAGCCTTAAAATCAGCCGTCAGGACTTCTGTAATTTTGTGATGTCACAACAAAGCAGCCACCAATCTCAGCTGTGACCCAAGCTCTACCCACCTGGACCCACCATCCAGCCTTGCAGGATTTGGTTTCACTGAGTGTTTACCTGAAATCTGCCATATTTTAATTCCATCACTCAGAGAACAGTCAGCCAATCAGAAGAGCGACTCAGAGTCTCCTCTCTTCTGATTGGCTCACCGACCTGTCGTTACTAGAGCTCCAGAGATGTGAAACTACACAGAGATGGTTTTTGGTTCTCAATACCACATATACAGAACATCTTATTATGAATATCAACACTTCAAACAAAACAGGCAACATTTAATGATGATAATAATGATTAATAGTAATAAATAATAATAGACCCTATTTGTCAGATACCTAATCACAATATGCAGATCACAAATTCAAGAGGATTGCTGTGACTCACACACTCATTTGCCAATTTACAACAGGATATTGTCATTTTGGAGGCTGTAATTTGCTGAGCTGTTGATCTGTGCTGGGTTACACTGAGTGAATATTTTGTCAACCTTCATTCATATTAGGAACACC